GATATAGGAAGAAAATTGAGCTTAGGTTAGAACCTTCTGAGATCTTCCGAGAAAAAACAAGAAAAACAATTCAAACATCTGTAGGTTGTCACTGTTCATGATAGATAAAAGTAATAGTGATGGGTTATATTTTAGGAATTATGCTTTCATTCAAATATTTGAATTTTTTTTTAAGGAATTATATTGCTTTACTCCATCAGTAGGTAGTTCCAAGTACAAGATAATTCAGTTCAACAAATGATTGAGAGTAATAGGAACTTGGGATAGATCAATGATCAAAACATGATTTTCCCTTTGGAGTTTTTGTTTTGTGTTGTTTTGTTTTGTTTTGTTTTGAGATGGAGTTTCGCTCTTGTTGCCCAAGCTGGAGTGCAGTGGCGCCATCTCAGCTCACTGCAACCTCCACCTCCCGGGTTCTAGCCATTCTCCTGCCTCAGCCTCCTGAGTAGCTGGGATTACAGGCGCATGTCACCACACCTGGCTGATTGTATTTTTAGTAGAGATGGGTTTCACCATGTTAGTCAGGCTAGTCTCGAACTCCTGACCTCAGGTGATCTGCCCACCTCAGCCTCCCAAAGTGCTGGGATTACAGGCGCGAGCCACTGTGCCCGGCCTGTAGCTTATTTTCAGATGCAAAGATCAGCAAACCTTTCTGTAAAGAACCAGATAGTAAATATTTTAGACTTTGCATGTGCCCATGTTCCAATAAAACTTAATTTACAAAAACAGGCAGATGTCTGAATTTAGCATATAGCCCCTAGTTTCCCAACCTCTGTTATAGTAAGTGGAAACATAATTAATAGGTAAATTAGGGTATGTTAGGTGATAAGTGCTTTGGGAAAAAGAAAAATAGAGCAAGGTAATCAAATGGGGAGTGTGATGAAGTAGGGGTTCGTAAGTTGGGCTTCACTTAGGTCAAGAAGAAGAGGAAGGGGCATGGTGGCACACACCTGTAGTCTCAGCTACTCAAGAGGCTTCGATGGGAGGATCACTTCAGCCAGGAGTTTGAAGCCAGCCTGGGCAATATAGTGAGACTCCGTGTCTAAAAAGAAAAAGGAAAAAAGAGGAAGAACCAGCAAAGGAGACTGAAAAATGAGTAGTGAGATAGAAAGAAAAACGAGAGATGTTCTCGGCTTGGTCCAGTGGCTCACTCCTGTAATCCCAGCACTTTGGAAAGCCAAGGTGGGCAGATCGCTTGAGCCTAAGAGTTCCTAAGAGTTTAAGACCAGCCTAGGCAACGTGGCATGGCGAAACCTCATCTCTGCAAAAAATACAGAGGTTAGCCAGGCGTGGTGGTGCACACCTGTAGTCCCAGCTACTTGGGAGACTGAAGAAGAGGATTGCTTGACCCCAGGAGGCGGAGGTTGCAGTGAGCCAAGATGATGCCATTGCACTCCCGCCTGGGTGACAGAGTGAGACTCTGTCTCAAAAAAAAAAATAAAAGTTCAGGATAAGCCAAAGAAAAGGAAAACTGAGATTAGATTTGGCTAAATGGAAGTTGTTAGTGACCTTGATAATTAGTTTTGGTGAAGTGGGTTCAAAACTAAGGAGAGTATCAGATAGAGGGCCGGGCGCGGTGGCTCACTCCTGTAATCCCAGCACTTCAGGAGGCTGAGGCGGGCGGATCACCTGAGGTCGGGAGTTCAAGACCAACCTGACAAACACGGAGAAACCCTGTCTCTACTAAAAATACAAAATTAGCCAGGCATGGTGGCACATGACTGTAATCCCAGCCACTGAGGAGGCTGAGGCAGGAGAATCACTTGAACCCAGGAGGCAGAGGTTGCGGTGAGCTGAGATCGTGCTGTTGCACTCCACCCTGGGCAACAAGAGCAAGACTCCGTCTCAAAAAAAGAAAAAAAAAAAAAAAACAATTCTTCAGGGGAATTTCGTTGCAAAGGGAGCAATGAAATGAAGCAGTGGGGCAAAAAGGCTCAAGAAAAAATTTGGTTTTAATTTTTTTTTTTTTTTAACACAGAAGAAATAATAGCATGTTTGTTTGATGAGGAGCCAGTAAAGAGCAGGGAGAAATTACATAGGACAGTGGGAGAGAATTGCTGGAGCTGTGGCCTTGAGTTGCTGAGGGGATAGGACCATCTAGTGCATAAGCGAGGGGACTGACTTCAGCTCGGTGGGATATTGGTTGATGGGTACATGTGCTGGAGGGAGTTGGTAAATGTTCTCTTATGGCTTCAGTTTTCTGATTAAAAAATTACTAGGCCAGGCATGGTGGCTCATGCCTGTAATCCTAGCACTTTGGGAGACTGAAGTAGGAGGATTGCTTGAGCCTAGGAGTTCTAGATCAGCCTGGGCAACACAGGAGACCCCGTCTCTACCAAAAAAAAAAAAAAATTTAAATAAATAAAATTAGCCAAGCATGGTGGTGCACATCTGTGGTCCCAGCTACTTGGGGCACTGAGGTGGGAGGCTCGCTTGAGCTGGGGAGGTCAAGGCTACAGTGAGCCATAAGCACGCCACTGTACTCTAGTGTGGGTGACAGAGCAAGACCCTGTCTCAAAAGAAAAAAGAAAAAAATCTAATTATCAATCGATACAAAGGTTGAAGTGCTGAGGTTTTATATATACCTATTGTCTTTAACTTCTACTACCAGCATTTGAGGGATCTTTGGTGACTAAGATGACTTTTATTGTGCTTTCTAAGGGAGTTACAAACTTAACCCAGCAAATTTGTATGTTATGAGAATTCAGCACTATATTCTGAGATTAAATAATGATGCATGTAATGCCTGTGACACAGCATACAGTCTCATGTAGACCCTCAAGAAATGCTATTTATTAGAGGATATAGAGTTGGTGTGCACTGAATTAGACTTGTTTCATCTCTCTGGTCCCGAAAGATACCTTATCATTGTTTTAAATGCTATGTGAGTTAGAGCTTGACAGTAATAAGTAAATATGCTATATGTATTATAAATGACAGGTCCTTTGACATCTCTTCTAATGTTCTCTACTTAACAATGTATAGTCTGTCTTCATACAGTGACATAGTGATATTATTGGCTCCAGTGATCAGCAGGGAGTCTTGATCAGAGGCTCCATAGATGGATGCTTTGTTCTTACCTGTTTAATTATTTTATCATCAGAATCCTATGTTAATTATTTATATAGAGAAAATAAACTGTTTTCGTGTATAGCTTCTGCCTTTAGATTATAAGTTCCCAGAAGGTAAGTAATAATTGTTACACCTTTCTAAGAAGTTTTCATATTTTTTTGGTGGCTCACACACACCTGTAATCTCAGCTACTTGGGAGGCTGAGACAGGAGGATCACTTGAACCCAGGAGGTGGAAGTTGCAGTGAGCTGAGATTGCACCACTGCTCTCCAGCCTGGGCAACAGAGCAAAAATCTGTCTCAAAAAAATAACAATTAAAAATTAAATTGAAAAAATAAACTTAGGGCCAGATGCAGTGGCTCATGCCTGTAATCCCAGCACTTTGGGAGGCTGAGATGGATGGATCACCTGAGGTCAGGAATTCGAGACCAACCTGGCCAACAGGGTGAAACCCCATCTCTACTAAAAATACAAAAATTAGTTGGCTATGGTGGTGCATGCCTGTAATCCCAGCTACCTGGGAGGCTGAGGCAGAAGGATCACTTGAGCCCAGGAGGCGGAGGGTGCAGTGAGCCGAGATCCTGCCATTGTACCCGAGGCTGGGTGATACAGTGAGATTCCATCTCAAAAATAAATAGCTGGCCGGGTGCGATGGCTCACACCTGTAATCCCAGCACTTTGGGAGGCTGAGGCGGGTGGATCACCTGAGGTCAAGAGTTCAAGACCAGCCTGACCAACATGGTGAAACCCCGTCTGTACTAAAAATACAAAAATTAACCAGGCATGGTGGCAGACGCCTGTAATCCCAGCTACTCAGGATGCTGAGGCAGGAAAACCGCTTGAACCCAAGAGGTGGAGGTTGTGGTGAGCCAAGATTGCACCATTGCACTCCAGCCTGGGGGACAAAGTGAAACTCCTTCTCAAAAAAAAAATAAAAATAATAAATAAACTTAGATATTCAGTTATATTTGGCTTTTAAATCAGGGCTGAGACCCTTCCATTCTTGTGGAAAATTCTGGAGCTAAATTATATTGGGCTTAGTGGCAGTCAGAATACCTCCAAATGCTGCTTTTCCAAATAACTTCCAGAAGGAAGTAGTAATCAGATTTCAGAGTAAGCATATAATAATAGAAGCACAATTGGCACATACAGCTGTTGGAATGCTATAAAAACTGGCTTCATAATCGTAAAAAGAAATTTATTAGAGAATAATATTCAATTAAATACAGCATATTGAAAATCAAAGAGAGAGAAATTGGCTTTATATAAACACAAGAAAATGGCCCTGGTTACCTTTATATGCTATATCAAGGTATACAGTGAGTGAAGTCAGAGAAATGATATTCTTACCAAATACGAGAGAATCTAATTTTTGCCAGGAATTTGATGGGAAAAGCAAGCTGAAATGACCATTTCACTCTACCGTGGCCAGTATGATTAAGAGATGAAAGTGAAAGGACTATTTCCTTTATAAGAAGCAACTATATTTGAGACTCTAATTTTAGGTTCAGTAATAAAGATAAAAATTTGAGGAGGCCGTTTGCGAGAGTTTATGAAGTAATATTTAGCTATTCGTGCAAATGACTGAGAAATTCTAAACTATTCTAGTCTGGGTTCCCATCAAATTTATAACAGTTATTTCTAAAGCATCAAAACGTCCAACTTCATGAAAGTATTTTAGGCTGAGTGTAGTGGCTCATGCCTGTAATCCCAACATTTTGGGAGACCAAGGCAAGAGGATCACTTGAACCCAGAAGTTCGAGGCTATAGTGAGCTATAATCATGCCACTGCACTATAATCTGGGTGACAAAGTGAGACCCTGTCTCTTTTTGAGGGGAAAGTATTTTAAATCTATAGAAAATATCAAACTAGTCATTTTAAAAGTCCACCCTGTGTTGAACCTTTACTTCTTTTCTTTGTGTTATAGGTCCAGTGGTTTACGTCTTGGATCTTGCAGACAGACTGATCTCAAAAGCCTGTCCATTTGCTGCAGCAGGAATAATGGTCGGCTCTATCTATTGGACAGCTGTGACTTATGGAGCAGTGACAGTGATGCAGGTTCACTATTTTACCTATATAGTGATATTACTTGGTGTGAAGATCTGTTAAAACGTTTTCTTGTTAGACATTTAAAAGTGTATTATTTTGAATAAGAAATAACATTCTCATGTTCTTTCTAAATATGTTATTTCCCCTACTTTTTCTTTACCCAAAAAGGAGTATATTATAGCTGTATCTCCCTTTTTTCATAGTGAATCTTGGAGATCATTTCATATAAGTATGCAGAAATCTGCATAACATTCTATCTATAGAATTACAGCGATTTACTAACCAACCTGTCTCTTGTGGTTAGACGTTTAGTTAGTTCAGTGTTTTGCTATAAAAACAGTGCTGCATAGCTTGCAATCCCAGCACTTTGGGAGGCCAAGGCAGGCAGATCACCTGAGGTCAGGAGTTCGAGACCAGCCTGGCAAACATGGTGAAACCCCATCTCTACTAAAAATACAAAAATTAAGCAGGCATAGTGATGCATGCCTGCAATCCCAGCTACTCGGGAGGCTGAGGCAGGAGAATCGCTTGAATCCGGGAGGCAGAGGTTGCAGTGAGCCAAGATCACGCCACTGCACTCCAGCCTAGGCGACAGAACGAGACTCCGTCTCAAAAAAAAAAACAGTGCTACACAGAACTTGGATAAGTAGTCAAAAATAAAAATTTAAAAAAGAAAAGAAAAACAGTGCTACAATCAATAACTGCTGCTGAAGATTAGAGAGACATAAATTTCAAAATTTAGTCCCAAACCCTTGACTCTTCTTTTTATACCTTCTTCTTAAAGATTTCCAGCTATCAGCTTAGTTCTTTTTGTGTTCAGGTCTTTTGTCCTGTTCTTTTCTCAAATCCAGTGCTGCAATGATCTCTTGTGACTTCATACTCAAAATTATTGAAATCAAACTTGTCATTTCTTCCATTTGGAACCTAAATTTATTCTCCATCATCATTCCTGTTTCTGTTTCTATTTTCCCATCTATAGTTTACATCCTTTTTTTTTTTTTTTTTGAGACAGGATCTTGCTATATGTAGCCCAGATTGGCATGGAGTGGCACAATCGTGGCTCACTGCAGCCTCATCTTCCTGGGTTCAGTGATCTGTCCACCTTAGCTTCCCTAGTAGCTGGAACTACGGGTGTGTGCCACCACGCCAAGCTACTTTTTTTGAAGGATGGTGGGAGGGGTCTCACTATGTAGCCAAGGCTGGTCTCAAACTCCTGGGCTCCAGTGATCCTCCTGCCTCAGCCTCCCAAAGTGCTGGAGTTACAGTTGTGAGCCACTGCACCCAGCCCATCCTACATGTTTAGAATTACGTTTGACTCTTCACCTGCCTCAATACTCTCCACAAACTCCCCCCCCCCCAAAACAAAGTCTTACTCTGTCACCACAGCTGGAGTACAGTGGCGCAATCAAGGCTCACTTCAGCCTTACTCCTGGGCTCATGCCTCAACCTACCAAGTAGCTGGGACTACGGACACACACCACTATGCCCAGCTAATTTTTTATTTTTTGTAGAGATGGGGTCTTGGTATGTTGTACAGACTGGTCTCAACCTCCTGGCCTCAAGTGATCCTCCCACCTCAGCTTCCCAAAGTGCTGGGATCACAAGCATGAGCCTCCACACCTGGCCTAGTCTTCCTATTTTGTAGCCCTCTATTCAGTCCACTGAATAGCCAAGCAGTTTTTCCATTTTGATATGTCTTGCATCTGTGGCTTCTTTTCCACAGTCTTTACCACCTGACTTCTTGTCACTTCATCATACCTGGATGGCTGAAGAAGCTTCTTGGTTTATCTGACTTCATGTTCTTCTATCAGTCCATCCTTCCAAATGAATCCTCTTAAAATAGTACCGTCAAAATCTTACTCTCCATCTTAACATCAACATTATCTTAAGTAGTAGTCTTTACGAGCAGCATCTAGATTGGTTAAGTGTTTCCTAAGTAACTCTGTAGTAGTGAACACAGGTTTGTAGATGATATAATTTGCTTTTCTTTAATATAAATTAGAATTTACATGAACAAAAAAGGAATGCATGGAATTTTACCTAATATTCCAGGAGCTGCATATGTATCTATGCCAGGGTCAAACCTTTATAGCTTGCTCCATTAATGGTCATGATGAGACAGAGTATTATGAGACTTCCTTATAAAATAATGATGACATCCCAAAAATGTGGATACAGTTACTGAAATGAATCACAGTGAAACATCATTTGACATGAGTGTAGTGAATAAACTTTGAGAACCACTGACTTGAACTTTAGCCTGATTTGATATGCAGGGTACTCCGTAATTGTACTTCGTTCTGCTTTAAGGCCTATTGGCTGCCTCCTCCAACCCATCCTTATGTTGTTTAGTTTTTTACCTCTGTCCTTTGGCTTATGTCATCCTCCCAACATAATACCTGCCCTTCTAGTCTTCTGTATACTTATTCAAATCTAAACCCTCCTTCCAGGCTTAGCTAACTTTCCTCCACAGAACTTACAGGCAACTCCTGCCTGCTGTGATTCCTTCTTCCTCCACATTCTTGACATTTTTATTCCTCAAATGGCAGCTAGTCCTGCCCTGATGAAGTGACATTTCTTATATAGATTATCTATTTAACTTTTCTTGTTTTTAGGCCTTATTTTTCCTGTTAGGAGGTAATTTCCTTGAAAGCAGAGTCCATTTTATGCTTCTGTATTCCCTGTTACAGCATCTACACAGAAACTAACACATTAAAGGGTTTCATAAATCTTTGTGGTTTTGTTTTTTGTTTTTTGTTTTTCTGTTTGAGACAGAGTTTCGCTCTTGCCCAGGCTAGAGTGCAGTGGCATGATCTCAGCTCACCACAACCTCCGCCTTCCAGGTTCAAGCGATTCTCCTGCCTCAGCCTCCCGAGTAGCTGGGATCCGGGCATGCGCCACCATGCCCAGCTAATTTTGTCTTTTTAGTAGAGATGGGGTTTCACCATATTGGTCAGGCTGGTCTCGAACTCCTGACCTTAGATGATCTGCCGCCTCTGCCTCCTGAAGTGCTGGGATTACAGGTGTGAGCCACTGCACCCGGCAGTCTTTATGTTTTTTATGTGACCAGTTTAAATAATGAGTATTAGTATGTCACCTGAGGAGGGAGGAGCAGGATGATTTCCTAAGACTGAGAAAGACATAGAAACTTAGAGGAGATTATACATTATTTAATGTACAAATACATTATATAGATATATATATTTTGCAAATGAGATTGAGTAATTTTCTTAAGACTTTATTAACCATAAGAAGTGAGATGGCTTTTTTTTAAGAAAGGCTTTTAGGCTGACACAATGTTAAAATAATATTGGTAATTAATGGGACACTTGTTAAGGTGGTACTTGTTAAAACACAAATAAATTGAAACCTCTGATCCCCAGCATCAAGGTATATAGTCCAAGACAAGACGTTCATAAATGAAACCACTGGAGAACAGTTATAGGTTAGATAAATAAATGTAGTAAGAGGACAGAAGACTATATAAACAATATTTTAATTTAGTAAAAGTGAAAGATCATTTGATTTGAAATTATGAGAAAAGTCGAACTAACCCTTAAAGGAAATAATTTGAATCAGTAGAATGAAATAAGCAAGGAAGCAAAAACTATACTACACATATATTATGTGTTACTATTTAGAAATAACCTTCACATGTACTGTCTCACTTGAAAAGATTTTTTTTTTAAGCCCAGAAATGAGACTAGCTATGACAGTAGGTAGGTAGTGTTGTGTGATTTAAGAGTATTGGGAAGATGACTTTTACTTTCCTGAGCACATATGATAGAGAACGTGCCCCTGTACACCATCAGTAGTATTTAGAGTTTGCCTTTTAACACTTAATTGTTTTTCTCTGGTTCCTTAACAACCCTGCAGTACAAGTAAACCAAATTAAGGAATCAGATCACTGTTCTTTTCCTGTTTATTTTCTTTCCTTCTCCATGGACCTGTCGTAGAATCAATACTTCTTAGTTGTGGGGAACTTGAATAGGACCTTCCTCTTGCATTTTTATTGAAAAGACAACACAATAATTTTTTTTTCCCAGCACTGGATTGAACACCTAGCACTGATGCATTTAATCCTTGCAACAATTTTATGACGTAGATTATTATTACTATAAAGTATTCCTAGTTTACTGGTTTAGAGAGTTTACATGTCCAGTGCCACATAGCAGAGAAGAAGCATTAGGACTTCTGTCCCTAGGGTCCTTAAGTGAAGCCTGGTCCCAGAGGCAACTGGAACATTTTATCCTGGAACAGTGGAAACTTAATATTTAGCCTAGTTCCCACTTTTGCCTCTAGTGTAAAGAGAACCCCCATTAGCATTGCCCATTCTTACTTACAGTACTTATCCTTAATTCTGAGTTTAAAAACCCTATTATTTCATCACTGTTTCATCCTCTCATTAGGATTCTGGCCAGGTGCCATAGCTCATGCCTGTAATCCCAGCACTTTGGGAAGCTGAGGCGGGCAGAACCCTTGAGGCCAGGAATTGGAGACCAGCCTGGCCAATGGGTGAAACCCCATCTCTACCAAAAATACAAAGAAAAAATTAGGCATAGTGGCTGTACTCCCAGCTACTCCGGATGCTGAGGCGTGAGAATCGCTTGAACCTGGGAGGCAGAGGTTGTAGTGAGCCAAGATCGCTCCACTGCACTCCAGCCTGGGCGACAGAGCAAGACTCTGCCTCTAATTAATTAATTAATGTAGGATTCTAGTAGTACTTTAAAATCTCAGACCTTAATTAAAACTCTTAGCCTTTCAGCAGCAATGAACTGCAGGCCTACCTGGATACGAAGATCTAGCTTTTAGCCCTTCTGCGGGAAAAACAAAAACAAAAAATATTTTTCTCTAAACCTGCAATTCTATAGGTCTTTTGTTTTTCTTTCTTTCTTTCTTTCTTTTTTCTTTTTTTTTTTTTTTTTTTTTTTTTTTGAGACAGGGTCTCACTCTGTTACCCAGGCTGGAATGCAGTGGCACAGTCATGGCTCACTGCATCCTTGAACTCCCTGGGCTCAGGTGATCCTCCCACCTTAGCCTCCTGTGCAGCTGGGACTACATTCACATGCCATCATGCCCTGCTAATTTTTGTATTTTTTGTAGAGACAGGGTTTCATCATGTTTCCCAGGCCAGTCTCAAACTCCTGGACTCAAGCTACCCACCTACCTCAGCCTCCTCAGCACTTGGATTACAGGCGTGAGCCACTGTGCCCATACAGGCCTTTATTTTATACCTAGATAACAAATTCTTAGACATTCGATATAATTCCTGGATCTCACCCCAAAATTGAAGTCTTAAAAATCATGTTTTTAAATCTTAGGACAAGAAAGCAGGATGTATGTGATTACACACAGGTTCACTGACTTTGTATTGGCCAAAATTGAATCAGGCCCATTGCTTATTCACCTTTCATTTATTGCCCCCGAGTATGATTATTTTAGCAGGTGGTGTACTGCAGGTGTTATACTACCTTATTTCTTCACAGTATATATATTTGCACACGTGTTTGGTTTGATTTTCTCTCACTTCTAGAAGACATCTGTTTAACCTGCCATTTCAGCCCCAGCACAAAGTCAGTATTCAGTTGAATGAATGAATGCATGTGTGAATGATGAGCCTCATCCCACTTCTAACTTGCTTGAGCACAGGCCATCTCTCTTCACTTTAGTTGTAACAAGTGAAATACGGGCCTTTACTCACTCTTTGCCCTATTTCCTTTTTTTTGTTTTTTTGTTTTTTTTTTTTTTTGAGATGGAGTTTCACTCTTGTTGCTCAGGCTGGTGCAATCTCGGCTCACTGCAACCTCCACCTCTTGGGTTCAAGCGATTCTCCTGCTTCAGCCTCCCGAGTAGTTGGGATTACAGGCGCCCACCACCATGTCTGGCTTGTATTTTTAATAGAAACGGGGTTTCACCATGTTGGCCAGGCTGGCCTCGAACTCCTGACCTCAGGTGATCCGCCTGCCTCAGCCTCCCAAAGTGCTAGGATTACAACTGTGAGTCACAGTGCCCAACCCCACTTCCTTTTTGTTTCCTTATTCTTAAATACCTTATAAGGTTTTTGCTGCTACCCATGAGGAACAAACTTCCTCTTGCTCTAGTCTATACCTGAATATTCACTCTCCTTTATATTTCTAAACCCAAAAAAAGGATATGTAACCCAACAAAGGATTTTTTTCAAATATTCTGAATTTATTTGCTAACACTTTGAGAATATTTAATCATACCTAGTTATAACTTTAGAGTGATCATTATATTGAAATTTTTAATGATATAAAAATAGAATTTCCTAGCCGGACGTGGTGGCACCCATGTGTAGTTCCAGCTACTCAGGAGGGTGAGGTGGGAAGATTGCTTGAGCCTGGGAGTACAAAGCCAACCTGGGAAACATAGCAAGACCGTCTTTTTTTTTTCTTTAAAGGAATTTCCTGGCTGGGCACAGTGGTTCAGGCCTATAATCCCAGCACTTCGAGGGGCCAAGGCAGGCAGATCACCTGAGGTCAGGAATTCAAGACCAACCTGGCTAACGTGGTGAAACCCCGTTTTTACTAAAAATACGAAAAATTAGCTAGGTGTGGTGGCACACGCCTGTAATCCTATTTACTCGGGAGGTTGAGGCAGAAGAATCTCTTGAACTTGGGAGGTGGAGGTTGCAGTGAGCCAAGATTGTGCCAAGACCAAAACTCCGTCATAGATAGATAGATAGATAATTTCCTAGGAAATCATTATAGGTAAAACAATCTGGGCTACCATTAAGGAATTGGGGCTTATGAAATATCATACACCAGACCATTTCATTTTAGGGCAACTCAAAAGGATCACCTTCCACATGCAAGATAGGAAGGTGTTAAGTTCTACCTGGAGACACAGAAGAATATCAAATTCGATGACATTATTGACCATTAGGAAGAGGCTAGCTTCCTGCCCTTTAATATTACATCTTAGTTAGATAAATTAACCAAGTAGAAATCTGGACTATATCCATAGCTCAAATTTGGTCCTCTCTACACACTTTTATAAAACATTTTTGGCCAGGCGTGGTGGCTCACGCCTGTAATCCCAGCACTTTGGGAGGCCAAGGCGGGCATATCACCTGAGGTCAGGAGTTCGAGACCAACCTGGCCAAGATGGTAAAACCTCATCTCTACTAAAAATACAAAAATTAGCCGGGCATGGTGGCATGCCCTTGCAATCCCAGCTACTCGGGAGGCTAAGGCAGAAGAATCGCTTGAATCCAGGAGCTGGAGGTTGCAGTGAGCCAAGATCACACCACTGCACTCCAGCCTGGGCAACAGAGCGAGACTCTGTTTCAGAAACAACAGCAACAAAAAGAGGTAAATTTAAGGCCAAGATTGATGTGGAAATGAAAAGGATTTTGGAGAGAGGGAAAAGGTAGAAATTCACAAATGCCAATTTTGTATTTCTTGCCTTCTGGGATCTACACCAATTTAGAAATAGCCCCAAGACTAGGATAGAGTAAGGAAAAGATTATATTAGCTTCATTACCCCCATAGATAGGGTACCCTAGAGTTCCTGGATTGGGAAAAATGCCTGGGATCTGTAACCAAAACTGGAACTCCTACTACAGTCCCTCAATTCTAGACCTTGAAAGTGCACTTAAGGAGGATTAGGTCTGTAGGGTAAACACTTAGCCAGCCAGAGACATCACACCCTATCTTACACACCACTAAGTAAGGAGAAAGAGCCAAAGAGAAATGAGCTTTCAGGCCATCTCTTGAAGGCCAGTCCTACCTCTTGGCTGGCTATGCTTAATCTCCTAGAAGGAAGATCAGGAAAACAATTGTTTTGCTGGAAGACAAATAGAACTTAGAATTATATCCCAGTTCCATAGCCCAGTCTAACCAAATCAAATAAAGGAATAGAAGCAACAATCAGGGGTCCCCACCCCTCTATTGTAATGTAATCAGTCTGGGTCAGCCATTTTAAAAGCTTTTTTATTCCTGTGTGGTATGAAATGGCTTGAGAACTTCGTTTTTCCCTTGAATGAGACATTTCTTATAAATAAATCAGGACTGATAGCTTTCCAGCTTATTTTTTAAACTTTTTATTTCTGTGTATTCTTTTGAAATGCTTACATTTTCTATTAAAAAAAAAATAGAGCTTAACATGCAACCCCTCATTTGAAAAAGAAGTAATTCTAACATATGCTATCTGTTTCACAGGTTGTAGGTCATAAAGAAGGTCTGGATGTTATGGAGAGAGCTGATCCTTTATTCCTTTTAATTGGACTTCCTACTATTCCTGTCATGCTGATATTAGGCAAGATGATTCGCTGGGAGGACTATGTGCTTAGACTGTGGCGCAAATACTCGAATAAACTTCAAATTTTAAATAGTATATTTCCAGGTAAGGCCCTGAACTGTGGTTGTAAAGTGCATACCAAATTGATCTTATAGAAGAACCATAACATGCTTTTTTAGCCATGTTTGAAGATATTCTAACTCTTCTGATTTATTAGCACTAATGCACTACATTTTTTTCTCTAGGGATTGGTTGTCCTGTTCCTCGAATTCCAGCAGAGGCTAATCCTTTAGCAGATCATGTCTCTGCTACTCGAATCTTGTGTGGAGCCCTTGTCTTTCCTACTATTGCGACAATAGTTGGTAAATTGATGTTCAGTAGTGTTAACTCTAATTTACAAAGGACAATCTTGGTAAGATGGCTTTAATATTACTTATATTACCTTGCAAAAGAGAATAAAGTGTATTTGTTTTTAAAAGGTGGGGAACTGTATAAATATTCAGTCTGTGGCTCCTACGCATTAAGCCTCTATTTGAGCCTCACTATCATTCAGTAGCTTGAGTGGAAATAAAAAGAGGAGAAACCACTGCAGCAGTTCTGGCCTTTTTGAACTATGTTGTAGGTGCTTTCTCGCATGGCATATGTGTGAATCATTACACCTGCCCCTCTTGCCAGTGGGATTACAGTGCAGAGCTTTTGCTTTACGATCAGATCACCTGGTTCAAATCCCATCACAGAAATTGTCTTGCTGTGAAATCTAAATCAAATGTCTGGACTTTTCGTTCCTGTAGTATGGTGATGGTAATGATGGTAATAATCAGGATTATTGTGAGGATTGCATAAGTACTAGCATATAGTAAGCACTCATGTTGTTTGCTATTATTGTTATTTCCACTTCTCCCCTCTGGTGGCATGTAACCTGCACGGACCTTGGGGGACTGAACAAAGGGAGCAAACATGGGAATAAAAGACAAAGACAAGAGAGTATATTTGGAAGAAGGGGTCGGGGGCACCTTGCCTCTAGTGGACAAGGGCCCTGAAATTTACACAGCCTCCGTATGAGGCAAAAGAGATAGGAGAAGCAGGGATGATTGTTGGGTAATTGTCAGTCAGCAGTTTGGTTCCCAGCAGGCTTGCAAGACTGCATCCTTCGAACAATAGGCACTAGATTTCCCAGTAGATGACTTCAAGGAACCCTGCGCCAGGGAGTGATGGCCCTCAGCAAACATTTTGATGAGGTTTGCTCACATCCTGCATTCACGATAAACAGTTTGCTGTTTGGTTATATAGCCTCCAGTGGAATGCTGAGTTGATCATGATCCCTTTGGCCTTTCTTGCTCCCAACAGTGGCAGTCTGCACATAGTGCCCTAGCATTCTTCTTTGTATATCAGAGTATATGTAAAACTACATGGAAGAAAGACTAGTCAGAAAGGATAATGGAGAAGGCATCTCTGTCCTCTGTTACCTGTAGTAACAGCGTATAGTCTGTCTCTCTCCCTATCTCATCTTCTAGTAGAAAAGGACAACTGTTTCATTTGCAGTCATCTGAATTAGTTTAGCATCAAAGCCTATGTCTTTTGTGATCTAAATAAAATTGCTGTTATTATTATGTTTCTCTAAATCTGCATTATAAAAAGGTAATTTTCCTCTTTATTTTAGGGTGGAATTGCTTTTGTTGCCATAAAAGGAGCATTTAAAGTTTACTTCAAACAGCAGCAATATTTACGACAGGCACACCGCAAAATTCTGAATTATCCAGAACAAGAAGAAGCATAAAACTGACTTCTGGTTGTTCTGCAGTTCTCTCATCCTTATGAATCTGTTGTGTTGTTTTGATTCCATCATTAATGCTCTTGTGGAGACTTGTGATAAGCTGCTGCTCCTATATTTTTTAAGAAATATAATAAAGCACTTAGGGCAGGGGAAATCATCTCGGTAATCACGGAACCTAAGGATGTGATTTGTTTTCATTGTTTGTATGTACTACTTTTATGGCAGTCATGTGAACCATTATCTTAGCATGGTGAACCTGGGTTTTGTTCATATTTTCTCCAGACAGAAATGCAAAGATCAAACTGTGCAAATATTTAAAAAATGCACATGCTGTTTTATTCAAATGCCTCTTTTGTACATGTTCATGTTTAGTGTTTTCTCAGAATCAGCAACTCAATTAAGGTACTATGAGGATTTTTCTCACTGACATAATTTGATTACATACTAAATAAGAGGACATGTTAATATGAGGAAATGTAAATTAAATTAGTTATAAATAACCAAAAATGTATGTAAAGATTCAAATGATTATCTGAATAAATGAGATTTTGTGGTGTTTTCTTTAACCCATATGATGTCCTCCAAAATGTGTAGGGTAAAAATTCACAGGGCTTCCAGATCACTTTTTCACTATTAAATTTTATTTGCATAATGTTGACATCTCATACTTCATGAAGTAATTTTGACTCATGCAGTCTATGTGTGCGCGTGCGCGCGTGTGTGTGTGTGTGTGTGTGTGTGTGTGTGTGTGTGTGTGTTTCAGTGTTTCATCAGGTCCTTCCATCTCTGGGAGTTTTTTCAACCCATATTTCTAGAAATTACAGCTGCCAGTTTATAGTAGTTTGAGCAGAGAATGATTTGCAAAAATAAAAATAAAGTTATTTTACTCTCCTCTTTCATTGATTCAGTTATTGAGATACTCGCTGATCACCTCCTATTTGCCAGGCACTGTGCAGAGTGCTATAGGATATAGTGGTGAACAAGACAGGCTTGGTCCAAGCTCTTACAGAGTTGATAATCTAGTTTCAGCACATAGAAAACCAGCAGTGAATAAACCAAGGTGAGGCCTTGAGCTCTTTGTTTTTATATTAATGAGGAGAAAAGTATGAAAACAAGAAGTCTTAAGTAAATATTGAGGTCATTGTTTTTGGCTTAAGTTTATTATAGAAAACCAACACTAATGTTTTTAGATTTTAATTGTCATATTGATGAGGCTAGCACCTTAATCACTGTTTAGTTTTGTATTCATTTTTAAAAGCAATTATTTAAGCCACTTTCAATAGATGGGCCATTTTAATGTTCTGCAACCTGAATGGTTATTTTTGTTAATTAAAATTAAATTTTTAAGAGATATTTCCAAAACCCTATTTATTTTCTTGTTCACAGTAATGCATGACAATAATAAATGCTTCCCCTTACTGATAAGTGGCCACTTTAGGAGTGTAGCAAATATAGATTGAGCTATGTTCGTTTGCAATAATATATGTTAACTTTAGTAATTAAAGACTGGTTTCTATAGTATGAATGTCTTAATTTTGAGTTATATGATGTTTATTTGAATGACTGTTGAACATTCAAATTTTTATTATTTGGAGATGAAGAGAAGATCTGACTAACAGTGAGCCTTCTTAAGAGCACAACTACAGTTCTGAAGGGGAAATATAAAATCTATGATTATATATTTTAAAAGATTATAGGCTGTAATTATAAAATATATTGGCTTTTCTTTCATTTTCAATGTGAAAAGATATATTAAATAGGCATATCTTGCATAATTTTGTTATACAGAATAGTTTTTAGACAGCCTTTACTAAAGTTATGCAAACACAGTTCCCCATTTACTACTTTAATGCCCTTGACAGGGAGTAGCTGCTTGGGTTAATAGGTATTAGGGTTCATGAAGGGCGGGGAACAACTCTAATCCTTTTGGGGCAGGAGGGAGGGTTTTTTTAGGGTTGTGGGGAGGGAACTGCAAGTGCCTGAGGACCAGAGTGGCCTCTAGCCCTGGAATTGAACACTTTTAAACCTAAAGAGCCTTATTATTATTAGCTCAAGAAACACCACGTGCCAGTCTTTCCAGGAAGGTGACTTGCCCGACCATGAAGCAACAAAAGAGCACAGGCAGACTTAAAGTTGAATAGACCTGGGTTCAAATCATAGTTCAGTTTTCAATAACTGTATGTATGATTTTGGCTAAAGGATTTGACTCTTTCTGTCAACTGCAGTTTTCTTAATCTTTGAAATGCAAGTAATGTTTATCTCAGAAGACTATTTCTAGGATTAACTGAGAGATTAAAGGAACAGCAGCACTTTAGGCTCAAAATCGCCCCTACAGAGCAGTAGTTGTTTCTTAATTGCTAAGTAATCTGTTTGCACTCTAGAAAAAGTAAATGAAGAGGTAAAAGAAAGTCATTAGGGGACAAATGAAAGAGATGATGTAGATTTTTGGGATGGGTGGGTATATTTTATTTTCCAGTTTATTTTCATATTTATTTACTGTGTTATTTCTAGAAACTTTAATGTTTTAAACCTCTTTTATAAAATTCAATGATGACTAATAGAATTCTTTTCAAAAGTTAACTTATCTCCAAAGTGGCTGAAAATATTGTTTATCATTACATGATTATGAAATGACTGTGAAGAATATAAAATTAAACTTAGTGACTTAATTAGTCACTGCCTTGCTAACTTTGCTGTAATTTTTTTTAAACGTCTTGTTTTTAATATAGCAAACTATCTCAATACTGGCTGGATTAGGTTAAATAAAGAATTTTTATGTTCTCTAGGTGTACTTTTAAATCTCAAAACATTCTGTACATACATAATTTTTTTAAATCACAGTTATCGAGATACTAGTTTATATAAGTAAAAGTAACCTGAATTTTTAAAAAACTGTATGGAGGAATTTGTCCTAATTTTGCAAACAGGCTAGCCTATATTCTAAGTATGTTCTAATGACTAAACTATATCCACGCTCACCCACCCTCAAGATCTCTTGCACTGAGTGTAATTAAGCAACTAGACAAGATCTATGGTTGGTCTCATGCCGTGATATCTTAAAGTGTATTCTAGTGAGTTGGGAACACAAACTGCTTCTGAGATACTAAGAACTTAAATTTCTGAGAATCTTCTAGAATGAGTTAAAAAAATCTTTCCTTGCATCCATTGGGGATTATATTGGTTCTAAGTAATTTCATTACCCCATCTGAGAGACAGATGCTAAGAGGAGAAAGGGCATAGAATTGAACAGTCCTGGATGCATATGCTAGCTGACACTTGATTAACTGTAGGGCAAGTTACTTTACCTCTCAAACCTTCAGTGTCCTTATCAGTAAAATGAAGATTATAAAGTCCATCTCCTGGGTTATTGTGAGGATTGAGGTAAAATTCTAGGACAGTTTGATACATAAGGAAACTAAATCTCAATTTAAGTGCATAGTTGAGGTTTTGCCTACAGCCTTTTTTGGTCCACTGGAATCAAGGTTGCTATTTCCGTGCTACCTGCCACCCAACATGGCCATTAGAAATGGTAAGAGTGATGGAATGTCTTGTTTAATTGCCTTCCCAAAGCAAGGATCCTGAGCAAGGAGAATAAAGGAGGGGTTTGCATCTGAATACCCGCAGAAGCCTTGTGGACAAGCAGCAGAGGCCGGACCATCATTGTGGTCAATCCCGAGTGTATTAAAGCATTTTTCTGAAAACAGCCAGGTCAAGGTTACCGTATGCCAACAACATACACAACTCAAGTAGATATTTGTTGACCTATATTTGTGGCTAGATACTGTGCTCAGTCCCGGGGTTTTAAATAGTGCATAAGCCTGCTTTGAGATACTTAAAGAGTCCTACACTGCATAACAGATCTTAGTATGATGTTACTGTCATAAGAACGTAAGATCTATAAGGTTAAAAGCCTTTTTGTTTAGTTTACTTTTGTTTACTACTCTCCTCACAGTAGAACAGCACCCGCACATGGTAGGAGCATGATTGAACATTTTATGAACTTGGGAAAACACTCCTTTTTAAGATCAAAACACTTATCTTGATCCTAGTTCTTTTGGTCTCCAGAGTTTCTAAAAATTTAAATATAGTTAACCTCTTTTTGCCACTTTTTTTTTTTTAGCAAGACAGCAACTTTGAAAAGTCATAAAACTGCCTATAATCCCAGCACTTCAGCAGGCCGAGGCAGGAAGATGACTGGAGCCCAGGAGTTCAAGACCAACCTGGGCAACATTATGAGACCCTGTCCCTAAAAAAAAAAAAAAAAAAAAAAAAAAAAAAAAAAGCTGAGTGTGGTGGCATATACACCTGTGGTCCTAGGAGAGGTCCTAAGAGAGAGGCAGGAGAATATCTTGAGCTCAGGAGTTAGAGGCTGCAGTGAACCATGATCACATCACTACACTCCAGCCTCAGGGACAAAACAAGTTCATGTCTCAAAAAGATGGCCAGGCGCGGTGGCTCACACCTGTAATCCCAGCACTTTGGGAGGCCGAGGCTGGTGGATCACAAGACCAGCCTGACCAACATGGTGAAACCCCGTCTCTACTAAAAATACAAAACTTAGCCGGGCGTGGTAGTGAGTGCCTGTAATCCAAGCTACTTGGGAGGCTGGGGCAGGAGAATTGCTTGAATCCGGGAGGCGGAGGTTGAAGTGAGCCAAGATGGCGCCACTGTACTCCAGCCAGGGCAACACAGTGAGACCCTGTCTCAAAAAACAAAGATATAAAACCACTTTAAGTCAGGTAATTATGAAGGGTACAACACTAATCAGCAAGACTACCTAAGAAGGAACAGCATTGACCTGACCCCTTCAGAATATTTGTTTCTCACCTTTAACACCTGGAATCAGCATAAACAGCAAATGAGTACCTGCATACTAGCTTGTCTTCTGGGAGCCACTAGGACACCTTTAATGAAAGTCACCTAAGAGAAAATGAGGCTCTGTCACACTTTGCTGTCCTTATGGTTCATTCATGCAGAGAAATCAATGTATTCACTGGGATCTACTTGGTAGCTCACAGACCGGTGTGAATGTCAGGAATTTGGGCATGCTGTGGTTGAGGGGCTTAATGTTTAAGCCAATCACTGTCTTCCAGTGAAGAGTGCACACCATAATAGAAACCTTTCAGCAATGTCATCTTCACTTCGGCGAGCTCCTTCACACACACCTAAGAATTTATTGAACAATAGTAGGGCTTCCATTCCAACTTTCAAAATATGTTGCCACCTCAAAAAGCGCATGGACTCTTGAATACCTGTCCCTGATGGTGCCTGCTAAAGTCAAATAGGAACATCAAAGAGGATTTTTTTTTTCCTCAAACAAACTCAAACCCACCATTATCTTATTCAAAAGGAAAGACCACAACTGTGTGGACATTTTACTATTTCCATCATTAGAACCCTGACCACTTGGCCATACACTCATTTGCATACTTTCAGATTTCCAGAGCCCACACTACAGATGCTCAACAGGACCTCTGCAACATGACATAAGTAATGAAGTACAT